AAAATTGACCATTTAGCAACATGTATCTGACAGACAGTCAATCCCATTCCCAGCCCAGCAACGCCCAGCAGCAAGAAAGAAACAGGAGTCTGGTGCTCCCTCCCCCCACCCACCAACACATGATTATTCTTCAAGTACTGCATGTAGTTTTGGTCTCCTTAAAATTGGAAGAATATTCTTGTATTTGAGCCAGTTAAGAAAAGATTCGTTAGGTTAATTCCTCAAATGAACGGTTTAGTTTACAAAGAAGAGTTCAGTAAATTGAGTCACTTGAGTTGAGAAGAATGAAAGGTGATCTTATTGAAACACAACTTTGAGGGTGCTTGACAGGGTGGATGCTCAGAGGATGATATATTGTCAAGTTTGATGGTATTGGGTATTTTACTCAGGCAGGAAGGTACCAAAATCAGTGCCCTGTCATTTTCCACCTCGGCCCCAGTTAGGTGGCAATTTATCACCACTTAAGGGCTTCATGCTGCCACAGCTAGTGGGGACACTCGTTATGTGGAAAGCCCAAAAGGCAAACACTGTCAAGGTTCTTTGTGCACTTCGGAGTGGGGTGGGGTATTAATTAATTAATTAAAATCACTCAATGCCTGGTCACTCACCTTTGATCTGCATCCCCAAGATGATCCAGTGCGCCAGGCAAGTGCACTACTCCCAGCAACCCCCATCTCCCTGGTAGCACTGCTGAGCATAATAAAGCTGCCCGCCTCGAATGGACAGCCAGGTCTCAGCAGAAAGGATGTCCACCCTCAGGGCTCTTGATCTCAGGGAAGAACTGGGAACTGGCAGGCAAGTGGCAGGTCATCCCAAAAATGGCAACATGGGGCCTCAATGCCAGTCATGGGTAAAGACCCTGTCACGGAAATGAAATTCCATTCAATATTTTCCCTTGTAATAGAGTCTGGAAATAGAGGGTATAACATCAGAATTCTTGAACAATAGGGAAATGAAGGGAACAAGCAGGAAGGTGGTGGGGGTGACAGTAAGTTCAGGTCAGCCATATTCTTGTTGAATGACAGAACATGCTGAAATGTCCATTTAGACTTCAACTAGGCCAACCATTATCCAATAAACAGAGGTCCCAAAAGGGTTTTCAGCAAATCTTTTTCTACCCCAAGGATGGCCATCTCCTCCCATTTCTCCTCATCTCGTGTCAGTTCCTGAGGTCAGTGGGAACAGCAGTGGACCACAGAAAAAGCGGCAGCTATCCAGATTCTGCACCTGCACCATCATCTACTTAGGATGGACAGAGAAGGAGCAGTCAGCAGCCAAGCAGTTGAAGAGCAAGATAAACTAAGATCAGTGCAGATGTGTAGCAGTGTACCTTGCTGCATTACTTTGCTGCTGTTTCAGGGTTGTGATAGTGGAGCAAACGCCAGACTAGCAGGTGATCCCAATTATCTAAGCTTGTCAACACCCAAACATTTCTTATTCTTTTCTCAGCAGTTTACTCAGATTTTGTTTTTATTTCAAATTATGTCTGTAAAATAGTCCCTGAATCTTCTCAGAGATAGCAAGAACTGCCAATGCTAGAGTCAGAGAT